CCTCGGCCAGCGGTGGAGGACATCCCGAGTCCGTGTCTGCTGTGGGCGTTCGACGAGGGCGAGGGCGGAATCCGCTCACCGTCCTCTTGAAGCCAGCAGCAGCAGCGGCAGCAGCAGCAGCAGGGGTTCCGACTTGGAGATCGACTTCTAGTTGCTGCGCAAGTCACATCCATATTCTGCAAGGGGAGGGAAAGAGTTTGTTCTTAGGAAATAATTATATCAAGTGGTTGAGTTTGGGGCGACACGGTGGCGATATGTTAACGACCTCGCCTGGTATACAGGAGGTTGCAGACTCTTTGGTTCTATTCGGTAAAGTCACGTAGGTAAAAAAATGAAACAACAAAAATCACGACGTTTCGGCCACAACACAAGCGGCCTTCATCAGGTGAAGGGACCAGACTGTCTCGAGGACAGCGCTGGAGTGAAACACAGCCACGCTCAGACCGCGACCTTCAAGCTGTGTGCGAGGAAACAAGGTGCCTTGACAAAAAATCTAGAAAGGAGGTTGCAGGTTTGATCCCGACCCTGACGCCTGTATATGTGGAGTTTGCTCGGGATGCGCCGGTTTTTCCCTCCACATTTAGAAAAGCGCGTTTAAAGTATTTGTCTGGTCTACATTTCCACGCGATGAGCCACTTCGTTGAGCTATCATTTGTGGCCAGGTCGCTTCTCAAAAAGAGCTCTAAAGCTCAGTGGGCCTTACCTGGGAAATAAACATAGCAGTAAAGAGTAATAGAGTGATTTGGATTATTAATCTATGATAGCAAAAACGAGAAGAGGTGAAGATAACTTAGCGTGATTTTTTTCGAGCAGTCATTGGCGACTGGACTGAGGACCGTGAACTCACTACAGCTGAGCACCCGACGGAGTATGAGTGGCTCGAGTTGCCACGTCTGAGGTGCAAAAACCGAGACATATCATGGAAAGAAGAATATTTCACAATTCCAGAAGAGACGATAACTTTACTCATTGGTTCTTTCGGTAAAGTCACGTATGTAGAAATAAAATGAAATTTAAATAAATCACAAATAAAAAAAAACAATTAAAATAAATCACGACGTTTCGAACGCAACACAAGCGTTCATCATCAGGTGGAAATCGGGCAAAACACATAGCGAGGGAACACACAGAGGGACATCACATACACAGGGCACACAGAGAACGAACGGCAAACTGCACGGAGGCAAATACAGCAAGAAAATGGGAGACGCGAATTCAACAAACCTTATATTCTTGGTGCTTTCGGTAAAGTCACGTAGAAGGGATACAATAAAATAATTAAACAATATATAAAACAATAATATTCTCACGACGTTTCGACTGCAACACAAGCAATCATCAGGTGTGAAAACCACAGCTGTGAAAACCATGATGATTGCTTGTGTTGCAGTCGAAACGTCGTGAGAATTTTATTTTTTATATTTTTATTATTTTATTGTTTCCCTTCTACGTGACTTTACCGAAAGAACTAAGAATATGAATCCCTGCAGTCACGAAAGCTTTAAATCTAAATTCAACAAACCTTATGAACATAATGCGATGCATCGTCATTTTTTTATTTTATTTGTGATTTATTTAAATTTAATTTAATTTCTATATACGTGACTTTACCGAAATAACCAATGAGTATAGTAATTCCTGCAGTCACGAAAGCTTCAATTCTAGGTGATACCTACTTGTGCTTATGGCACAACTGACAAAACCCAGGCCTTCAGATGTCCTGAGAAGACTTACAAAATCCCCGGGCATGGCAACTTTAAAAAGAGGCCAACCACTGGACAAACCAGGACACGTGGCAACCCTACGAGCGGCGGAAACCTGCATTTGATCTCGGTGGTGTCGACTTGGGGCCTTTGACCCCGCATAGTAACGCCACTGACAGCTTTGATCGCCCAATATCAGTGCGGGTATTTCAGATATTCACCAGGCTACGCCTGAAGCCAACCACTGGCTCACGCGCCTACATCGATATTCACATTTATAAAAGAACAAATGTCTGCTTAAGTCTGTTGACCTCTATGCGAGTCTGTCGGTGTTCCTGCAAGACTGTGGGTCTCTCTGTGTAAGTCAATGCATTTTCATTTTAGTCTGTACCTCATGCTACAGTAACCCACTTAGATCATTCGCCGGAAGAATTGCAGATATTCACCAGGGCTTTTTGCTGGCTTACCAACTTCGACTTGAACATATGTCGAGGTTGGTGACCAACTCTACACCCATACACAAATACAGGTGGCATTGACCAATCAGCCACCCGCCCACCATGTGAGTGGCAACACTTGTGTCTCACAGCAAGGAAGGTCTGGGTTCCAATTCCCAACTCAGACACCTCTCTGTGTGGACTTTGTATTCCCCTATTTTGCATGAGTTCCCTTCAAGTACTTTGGTTTCCTCCCATGTCTAAATAAAAACCACACACAATGTAACAGCTATTGGCCAAAACAATCCCAAGGCGACAATATTTACGTGCAAATTATCAAAATGGGACGCGACACACACAGCAACATCGCCCCTCTACTGTGAAAACTTGGCAGCGCCCTCCTAAAAAGATAGTCTTGAGACTCCGTGAAGCTTTCGTGGGTAAAACGAGCGTCACAACAATAACAATAACTTTTTAGAAGCCCCACTCGGCTCAGACGTGCGCTGTCTCGCGAGAAGTCCCTGCGAGTGACGCCACCACAGCCGAGGCTGCCGTAATCCGTCAGTCAGTTTACGGCTCTTGCCCTTTCGTAATGTTCTGCTGCTGATCGGCTTAATAAAAAAATGTGTTAGATTGACAGCGATGCAAATGCTATTTTGTCATTCTTTGTTATTAATTATTCAAGAGCGGAGTGGCCCCATTCCAGGCAGCCAGGGACCACGATTAACCTGACCTTTCTGGCTTTGTAATTAGGCGTTGTTTAAATATGACAAGAAAAAATCTATTAATAAACACCTGCTCCTCCTCACCCCACCGTTGGTTTGGTTTCGTGTAATGTCATGGCCGAGGAGAATATCTGGTCACGTCGCAGGAGACGTGACGTGTGGTTTGTCATTCAAAGGTAACTGCAGGAAGTCACAATCCACCTCTCAATTATCCATGGGCGGATTATCCGGGCCGTGTATTCACCGTGCTTTTGAGAGGGTGAAACAAGAAAAAACTAATTTTCTCGTGCGCGCTGGTTCAGTTATTGGCTGCTCCTAACTCGTTGAGGGTCAATTGGTTCGGTGCCCACGTGACCACAAATGTCGGCACCCCACCTTGAGTTGGCGTCACGCTCAGAGCGCTGCTTGAACACAAATTGCATTTACACATTCACTCCGCAAAATGAAAACAAACAAAAAAAATCTAGACAACGCCTGCATTTGTCCCAAACTCACTACACACCGGCTACAACGTCTGTCCTCGGAGTGACACCTTTGGCGTCATGCAGCTTTTATTTCGAAAATGTACAAAAAAAATACGCGTCATTAATAACAAGGCGCGCTTCAATCCATTGTCCCGGTCACGTGTTTTTTTTTTTCTCCCGAACTTGGGTCCCCCGGGGGTCTCTGCTGGTGTCGGGACTCTGCGTTTGCTGTGAGTGCGCGGTGCCGCGCCGCCAGTGGTTGGGGGGGGGGGGGGGTTTGAGCTATGCAGTTGATAGTCTGCCAACTAAGCCAACCCCGACTGTGTGCAATAATTATTGCTGAATGGCACGAGAGTGAACGTGCACTTTTCAGCTTTTGTCGCACGTTCGTTAGCAATGGCCGTGTTTCTGGCTCATGTCACAGCAGGTTGTGCACACAAGCAGCAACGCGATGGCCGGAGAAGGCGCGAGCGAGTCAACGGCACCGTTATTGACGGTGGAGAACGCTAAAAGTGCCCTTGGGCGGAAACACGCCCATAGAGAGGAGCGATGTGGCCGGTGGTCGAGACTAACGACGGCGTGGCAGCCGAAGGAGGGGAAACGCTCCTGGGTACGGCAGTTTGATCCAGCGTGACGCCAAGCACTCATTCGTGGAACTTGTTAAGCAGCCCAATGCAGGACTCTCCCGAAAAAAGAGAGTCGTAAGACTCAGCAAGATTTTCCTGTATCAATAGAGGAGGTTAGTGGTTCATCTTTGTTTTGTAAAACGCAGCCGTCTAGAAATTGCATCGTGTGCAGGGGCCAGGTGGAATGTTACATTGTAGAATCACGAGGACTAGCGACAGTTTGCTGAGGCCTTTATCCAGCAGTGGACTGGCCATGGCTTTTCTTTTCCTTTAAAACCAGTTCCAAAGCAAAGGCCTAAAAACACCAAAACCATCAACAACAAATGGCAATTTTAAATGTGTAGTGGTGAAGATTCAATTAAAAAAAAATGGTAACTGAGCGAAGTTATGAAAACTTTGAATATAACGCGATGCGATGGGATTCCAAAGTGGCACGGTGCGAGGGACGAAGCAGAAAGAGAAGCGTTGTTGTGGACTCCCGCATTGCGGCGGTTGAACACAATGTGGATGAGACGACACGGTCAGTCCTGGCAGACCGAGTCCTCGACATCGGTGGACAGTGGCGTAACTACATTATCAGCTCAGCTGGTGCGGCACTCGGTCAAGTGGGGCCCCAATATTGGATTTGATCTGTCTCGCACGGTTGCACCGAGGCTATATATCACATAATTACGCTCACGGTATCGAACATTTAACGCTGTAAGGGGCGCTCCGTCTTCACCAAATAAGTTTGTTGTTCTATTACACTGTTGTTGAAAACACATCTCATGGTGGTTGTCAAGGGGGCCCCAACTCGTAGCTTTGCCCACCAGGAGGGGCCAAGGCACTCCCCTGCCCCCACGCTGGTCACGCCACTGTCGGTGGAAGGAATCAGCGGGTGAGGTTCGTGGGAACAGCAACCACGGTAGTAGCGAAAGAAGAGCGACGTGGAGGTGACTTGACTGCCTTGTGACCGGGGCGAATCAGTGACTTGTGTGTGGGGGGTGGGGGCTGTTCCCATCCCCCCCCCCCCCCGCCACCCGGGCCCCCTCGCTGTCGTCGCCAGGCTTCGGGATGACGACGCCGGCGACCGTGCCGGGCAAGGTGTTCCTCATCTTCTACGGCATGCTCGGCTGCTCGGCCACCATCCTCTTCTTCAACCTCTTCCTCGAGCGCCTCATCACGCTGCTCGCCTGCGTCATGCGCTCCTGCCGCCAGCGCCGCTTCTGGCGTAAGGGCCGGCAGGTGGCGGCCGCGTGGGTCTCAGAGGCAGGGCCCTCGGCGCCGGCGGCGGCCGCGGCCACGGCGGCCGCCCCGTGCCCCGGCGGAACGCGGCACGACGGCGGGGCCCGCGAGGCGTGGAAGCCGTCGGTCTACCACGTCATGCTGATCCTGGGAGCTGCAGCCATCGCCATCGCGTGCTCTGCGTCGGCGCTTTACTCCGCAGTCGAGGACTGGAGCTACGTGGACTCGCTCTACTTCTGCTTCGTGGCGTTCAGCACCATCGGCTTCGGCGACCTGGTGAGCGGCCAGGCGGCCGTGGCGAAGGACGTCGACCAGAGCGCCTACCGCTTCGTCAACTTCGCCTTCATCCTGCTGGGCGTGTGTTGCATCTACTCGCTCTTCAACGTCATCTCCATAGTCATCAAGCAGCTGCTCAACTGGACGCTCAAGAAGGTGGAGCAGGCGCGGCGATACCTGTGGCAGCGCGGGTTTCGGCCGAGGGGACACAACGCGGTCGTTCCCAGCAACGTTCACCAGCACCATGAGCACAATCATCATCAGCAACATCAGCAGCAGCAGCACGGTCGTCAGCAGCCTCGGACACAACAGCAGCAGCAACAACAGCACAGTCAGCAGCATCAGCGGCATTGGCAGAGGAGGCAGCAACAGCAGCAGCAGCACCAGAAGATGCGCACCATCTCCATCGAGACGGACCTGGGCGTGGACAGCGAGACGGACGGCGGGCGCCGCATGTCGGGGGAGATGATCTCGATGCAGGATTTCCTCGCCTCCAACAAGGTGTCGCTGGCCATCATGCAGAAGCAGCTGTCGGAAGCGGCCAACGGTATGACGGCAGCGTCGGCGTCGAGCGCGCCCGCCGCTGCCGTCAAAGTGGACAACGGGTTTTCGTACGGAGTGGGCTCGCTGGCCATCATGAACAATCGCTTGGCCGAGACGAGCGTCGTGAACTGAAGGAGCCCCGCTGAATCTTTTTTTTGTTGTTGTCTAGCGGCACATTTGGTCGCTTTGGTTCGCGCAGGACCGATTTATGAACACCCCCCCCCCCTCCCCAAGCGAGAAAAGGCGCGGGCGTGTCTTTTTTTGCAGAGGTTTGCGTGACCACCCTCCCATTCTGTCTCGCCGGAGAGATGCCAAAGGTGCACACGAGCGGTAGGATTTGCGAGCGGTGGCTCACGTCGTCGAAAAAAACGCAATGTGTGTGCACGGCTTCGAACGAAGGAGTACGACCACCGGCGTAAAGGTCACGGAGTTTGCACTACGAGTTGAACCACGAAAGAAATAACCTTTTTTCTTTCGATCATAAGTTTTTTTCATGATTGAACCTGAATATATTTTTTTAAAAATGTGACAATTTCATTCCTTTATAGGTCCATCAAAAAGGGCATGAACGTTCGTTAGATGGCAGAAGTCATCCGTCGATAAGGCAATGCCAGACCATGCACGAGAACATCACAGGCCATTGAATAGTTTGAATGGACTTTGCTGCCCCATCTAACTACAGCACAAGGCGAGATGCGGCACCCTCTCACTTGCATCCATTGAGTGCTTTAAAGCGTAGCCCAAGTGAGCTGCAATTTTGAAAAGTGTACTGCTGTTCACAGTGGTTACGCGATGCAGACTATCCTTCATGCCGTGATGGTATGCCGGCAGGGACATGGAAGGCAACTGCTGACAAACAACATTTTCACGAGCGCAGGGAAGTTTGCGGCACTTTGGCAAAAATAGAGTTATGGTGAAAGAAGCGAGGCCATTTGGAGCGCTGCTTGTACGCTCGCGTTCTTGAGACACTCCTGCGCGGTGCTTTGTCTGGTCTCGTCGCGAGACTCGCGGGTAAGTGGCGCATGAGCTAAGCCACGCGGTGCGAAGCTGCAATTATATGCGGCCATAAAAGCGCGTATTCATAAATTGTACAGGTGGCCACTAAAGCGCCATTCGTGCGGACCGGAAGCACACTTTTGGCATCATTTCTGATTCATATTCCATTCAAATAATGATCGACACCGCAGGCTTATTTGTACATTTTTTTTAACACGCTCTGCTTTGGACTAAACGCAAAAGATTTCGCAAACGAAATTGCAGAATCAGAGTTGTAAAGAAGTTGAAAAAGGGACCATAACGTGGGTGAAATTGAAAATAGGAATGTTTTTTTCGTGGTGCAGTAATTTTCCGTCGTCTCTTCCGCTAAGCAGGGGGCCTCGGCCTCTAAATAATCTGGGTGCTACCCACAATCCACTCGCCAATCACAAAGAGACGAATGCAATGTACGTGTGTTTTTGCCGTGCTTTGTGGTACAAAAATTAAGAACATTTATCCTGCACGGCCTATTTAGGGTGTTAATGCATTTAAATTACGCTCGCACCTTATCGGATATTGTCTTTGTCTCAGCCTGCACATTAACGCACGCCTACTTAACTGAACGCTGTAAATTTCTGCAGTTCCCTCATCCCCCCCTCTCCCCGCCCCTCGCATCCCCCTCCGCTTACCACAGTGCAGCAGCAGCAGCACACAGAAACCATTTGATGCGTTCCAATAGCGAGAGAGATCATGGTGCAAATAACATGACGGGAATACAGCTGTCGGATGCGTCTCTCACTGCTTTTGATTTCGATTCCGGGCTAAATCGCGAAGATCGCATGACAGCCCGGGAGAGCTGCGCTGACGCTTGGCACATTGTGTTGAGATTAAGCGGAGCCAAGGTAGTGGCTTTTTTTTTTAGCCGTTCAGGAGGATCTGCCAGGCAATGTGCCTGTTATCCGCGTTCGAGAGGCAAGTGGAATTTGAACAAATCCACAGGCAGGCAAATCACTCAGGATGTTGCGGCGATAAGAAGGCACCGTTTTTATACGAAAAAAGAAACGTGTAGGACAGAATATAATTGTAGAAAATGAAGCCATAGACAGCATGTAATGATAAGCACAAAGGAGCAGGCGCATGTAAATTGCCAAGTGCCGTCGTTGAGAAGGGTAAATAATAATGGAGCACTTTCTGGGTGTGTCACCACCTTTGTGGCGCAACGAAAACTGGGTTGAATCATGGGAAGAATATTCTACGAAACGGTAAGAACAGGGTCATTTTACTGAGTGGTGTATTAATGACACTACTGACAACACTGGGAGTATTTGATGACCCGAAAAAGCTTGGGCAAAATTCCCAGGACGGTTACACCTCAAAAAAGAGGACATCCTGGGAAAACCAGAACAGGTAGCAACCTAAAATATTCACGTGACGCTTGACTAACAACCACCCTCCGGAGAGTCCGTGTGATGGTTAGTTATATTTTTCCACTGAGATGCATATTTATCGACTTTCTTGCTACACAACTGTTTATTTTGGCAAAAAAAAGTATTGAATACATTCAAAAACAGGGTCAAAGGAAATAGGCCGCGGAGTGACCTCGCACACTGCCTTACAGTTTTCTCAAATCGTCGCATTTTCCCCGAGAAAATTGGTAAGACCTTGAACGCGGCAGGGCTGGGGTCATGTCACAGAGCCCATGGTTTAACCCCGTCTTATGAACTCCACGGATGCTGCCACAGCGGTGGTTATGCAGCGCACCGGTCTTGCAACCCAGAGGTCGCCGGTTTCATTTCATCATCTTCCGGTACGGTAGTTGAAACGATGGTGCAAGTTTCCCCCCCACAACGTCTCTGACCACCCAGCAGTGTAAATGGGTTGATCACAGTTATTTGATCGGCAGGTCGCGTGCGGTGGGATAACGCGTGGATGCTTCCACCTCTTCCAAAAAGTCTGGTCAGCATCGAAGAGGAGGCCAAAATGTCCTGCTAGAGAGTCTCTCTACAGCGTCTCCCGCCAGCATTGGCATGAGTAAGCAACTTCAGCTTCATGTCTCCACGTTTGGACAATTCCGAGAATGAGCACATGCATGGACAACCGAAGCCAATTCAACCGTAGGTTTCCGCAGCCATACTTGATTTTGGGTAAGACCACGCAATGAATGAACTCACTAATGATATTACTGAACCCAAATGTCAATGGTAAATCACTTACTGAAGTCATATCAAGGTACAGTAGCTCTTAAAGAGCGGATGATTAATTACCAGCGTCCACCCACTGTGGCTGGCCAAATTCACAATTGGGAGTCCAATGACAGGAACAGAATAATGGGAAAAGGATGTTGAAACAAGTGCGGTCTGCTACTGCCCATGCTGTCGGAGCTTAGAGACACATCTACAGATGGGTTTATTTATATATTCGTAATGATATCGGCGAGGGAAGAAAAAAAACCTTAGAAGACATAATAACGAAATCAGCCGGCTGCTTAAGAACGAGACCTACGCGCGCGACACGGGGGAACAAGATATCCAAGACGCGACGCGAGCGTAGTCGCACGGTCGCTGTGAAATTCATGAATTCTTTTCAGGGCCACTCTCGCTCGCTCGCGTGGCCGGAAGAGAAGCCAATTTAAAAAAAAAGTTTCATTGCTCAAAGTAGCAGCTGGTGTCGCGAGCCGGTTATATATATATTTTAAAAAATCAACGTGTCTGTGGCACACGTACGCACGGAAGCACGTTTCACTTGCACTTCGTGGCACATGGTGTACTGCAGCCAAAATAAAAAAAGAAGCACTCACATTTTTTTACTCCAAGTTCTTTATTTCACGTACGTGAATATGCAATCGCGCTGGGCGATTGACGTAGGCGAGCACGCCTACGCCAATCGCAGCTTCGCCCCGCTCCAAACGTCGCTGGCTAAGGGGCAAAACGGTGTGCTCTCAATCGGGTGGGGTCGCGAACGTTCCGCGTTGAGATTAGGGGGCGTGGATTTACATCGTTTTTTAATCACAGCCGTTGCTCCATCTACACCCTCCTCCTCCCTCCGAGTGCCGCCGCGTGCAAGTTTTACAAGTAAACAAATACTTTATTTAGCATTAATCGAACTAATTTCAATGGATTGGTATCATATGACGGTGATGTAGAGAGCGGTGGTGCAGTCGTTGGCATGTTGAATTCCATGCCATGGCTGAAATCAGTGGCGGGTGATGTCAAAATTGGTCTTCGCCATCCCCTTCTTCGGCAACACGCGTTGACCGGCATGGTGAAGTATGGTCAAACAACCCCCATAACTGACACCGTGGGATAAGTCCTTGGCTAATCCTGGCCAGCTGCCTCAAAAACTCAATAAAAAATACAACATTGGGAAGCCGTCATCCAGCAGTGGATTTGATCAAGGACTCTCAATCAGCATTATTATTTATTATGGATACATCAGTCAAACGTCGACATTGCTGGGACTCTATGAAGCTGGGTAATGTGAGACAACGCGTATGATTTCTACGTTGTATTTTTTTAAAGCTCAGGTGCAAGAAGGGATCCCGCGCGAAGCGCCGTGTGTGTCACATCCACATCGGATGAGTGCACAATGCAGTGCACCTGCTATGTTATACTGTACTAACAACAAGGGAGCGCATCAAGACAATATTTATTTGAAGCAGGACCTCAAAGAGCCAGTGCGTCTTAAACAAGTCTTTAGAAACTGCACAAAAGATGACGAAAATGCATTTCAAATTATACAACATTTTAACAACGTGCCACAAACACTTGTTACGTAAAATAAGCCATCATGAAATACATATGCTCGTCATATGTTCCATATTTTTTGCATTGGCTTGCAAGTAATGTAATATCTTGAGTTATTGTTTATTACAAGCAATAAAGGTGTTAAAAGCAAGAGGGAACGCCGGTACCGATGTCATATCTCGTTAAAATGTTAAACACACGTGGACTTTTTTTTCCATTTGTTTGCGTTCGCGTCGTTTTGGCGGCATGAGCAAGTCGCAGACATCTCTCCGAATTTCGTAGCCGGCAATTAAGCTGCGTTACTCTAGCGCACCGCTCCTCAACCGAACGCACACAAATGCAAAGTGCACGCGAATTGCCATTTTATTTGTTTATTTTATCCCCCCCCCCCCCAACAACGCCGCAAATCTCCGGGCACCACCAAATGCCATCCATTTGTTATCTCGCAAGCGTGCCGGATTACGGAGAGCCTCGCGCCGCCGCGCGCGTTTTGTCACATCGCCACCAGGCTGCTCCACACAAAGAGGCGGTGGGCTCATTAATATAGAGATGGTGCGGGGGGGAGGGATAATTAAATGAATTGATGACACTGCACGCCGGCGGTTAATGCCGGAGGCATCAGCCCGGGACAGTTGGGGAGTGGAGGGGTGGAAGGAGAACGGGGGGGAGAAAGGGGGGGGAGAGAAAGGGGGGGGGAGAAAGGGGGGGGGGGGAGAAAGGGGGGGGAGAAAAAGGGGGGAGAAAGGGGGGGGGGGAGAAACGGGGGGGAGAAAGGGGGGGATGGAGAAACGGGGGGGAGAAAGGGGGGGATGGAGAAAGGGCGGGGAAAGGGGGGGAAAGGGGGGGAGAAAGGAGGGGGGGGAGAAAGGAGGGGGGGGAGAAAGGAGGGGGGGGGAGAAAGGGGGGGGGAGAAAGGAGGGGGGGGAGAAAGGGGGGGGGAGAAAGGGGGGGGAGAAAGGGGGGGTAGAAAGGGGGGGGAGAAAGGGGGGGAGAAAGGGGGGGGAGAAAGGGGGGGGGGAGAAAGGGGGGAAGAAAGGGGGGGAGAAAGGGGGGGGAGAAAGGGGGGGGGAGAAAGGGGGGGGGAGAAAGGGGGGGGGAGAAAGGGGGGGGGGAGAAAGGGGGGGGGGAGAAAGGGGGGGGGGAGAAAGGGGGGGGAGAAAGGGGGGGGAGAAAGGGGGGGGGGAGAAAGGGGGGGGGGGGAGAAAGGGGGGGGGAGAAAGGGGGGGGAGAAAGGGGGGGGGGAGAAAGGGGGGGAGAAAGGGGGGGAGAAACGGGGGGGGAGGAGAAAAGGGGGGGAAAGGGGGGAAAGGGGGGGAGAAATGGGGGGGGAGAAAGTGGGGGGAGAAAGGGGGGGGGGAGGAGAAAGGGGGGGGAGAAAGGGGGAGGAGAAAAGGGGGGGAGAAAAGGGGGGGAGAAAGGGGGGGGGAAAGGGGGGGGAGAAAGGGGGAGGAGAAAGGGGAGGGAGGGGGGGGAGAAAGGGGAGGGAGGGGGGGGAGAAAGGGGAGGGAGGGGGGGAGAAAGTTGGGGGAGGGGGTGAGAAAGGGGGTGGAGAAAAGGGGGGGAGAAAAGGGGGGGGGGGAAAGGGGGGGGGAGAAAGGGGGGGAGAAAGGGGGGGGGAGAAAGGGGGGGAGAAAGGGGGGGGGAGAAAGGGGGGGAGAAAGGGGTGGGAGAAAGGGGGGGGGAGAAAGGGGGGGGAGAAAGGGGGGGGAGAAAGGGGAGGGAGGGGGGGAGAAAGGGGAGGGAGGGGGGCAGAAAGGGGAGGGAGGGGAGAAAGGGGAGGGAGGGGGGGAGAAAGGGGAGGGAGGGGGGGAGAAAGGGGAGGGAGGGGGGGAGAAAGGGGAGGGAGGGAGGGGAAAAAGGGAGGGAGGGAGGGGAGAAAGGGGAGGGAGGGGGGGGGGAGAAAGGGGAGGGAGGGGGGAGAAAGGGAAGGGAGGGAGGGGGGGAGGGGCGGGAGAAAGGGGAGGGAGGGGGGGAGAAAGGGGAGGGGGGGAGAAAGGGGAGGGGGGGAGAAAGGGGAGGGAGGGGGGAGAAAGGGAAGGGAGGGAGGGGGGGGAGAAAGGGGGGGAGAAAGGGGGGGAGAAAGGGGGGGAGAAAGGGGGGGGGAGGGGGGGAGAAAGGGGAGGGAGGGGGGAGAAAGGGGAGGGGGGGAGAGAAAGGGGAGGGGGGGAGAAAGGGGAGGGAGGGGGGGGAGAAAGGGGAGGGGGGAGAAAGGGGAGGGAGGGAGGGGGGGAGAAAGGGGAGGGGGGGGAAGGGGAGAGAGGGGGGAGAAAGGGGAGGGGGGAGAAAGGGGAGGGGGGGAGAAAGGGGAGGGAGGGGGGGAGAAAGGGGAGGGAGGGAGGGGAGAAAGGGGAGGGAGGGAGGGGAGAAAGGGGAGGGAGGGGGGGGGGATAAAGGGGAGGGAGGGGGGAGAAAGGGAAGGAGGGAGGGGGGGAGAAAGGGGGGGAGGGGCGGGAGAAAGGGGAGGGAGGGGGGAGAAAGGGGAGGGGGGGAGAAAGGAGAGGGGGGAGAAAGGGGAGGGAGGGGGGAGAAAGGGAAGGGAGGGAGGGGGGGGGAGAAAGGGGGGGAGAAAGGGGGGGAGAAAGGGGGGGAGGGGGGGAGAAAGGGGGGGGGGGAGGGGGGGAGAAAGGGGAGGGAGGGGGGGAGAAAGGGGAGGGGGGAGAAAGGGGAGGGGGGAGAAAGGGGAGGGGGGAGAAAGGGGAAGGGGGGAGAAAGGGGAGGAGGGGGGGGAGAAAGGGGAGGGAGGGGGGGAGAAAGGGAGGGAGGGGGGAGAAAGAGGAGGGGGGAGAAAGGGAGGGGGGGGAGAAAGGGGAGGGGGAGAAAGGGAGGGGGAGAAAGGGGAGGGAGGGGAGAAAGGGGAGGGAGGGGGGGGAGAAAGGGGAGGGAGGGGGGGGAGAAAGGGGAGGGAGGGGGGGAGAAAGGGGAGGGAGGGGGGGAGAAAGGGGAGGGGGGAGAAAGGGGAGGGAGGGGGGAGAAAGGGGAGGGGGGGAGAGAAAGGGGAGGGAGGGGGGAGAAAGGGGAGGGAGGGGGGGAGGAAAGGGGACGGAGGGGGGGAGAAAGGGGAGGGAGGGGGGGGAGAAAGGGGAGGGAGGGGGGGAGAAAGGGGAGGGAGGGGGGGAGAAAGGGGAGGGAGGGGGAGAAAGGGGAGGGAGGGGGGGAGAAAGGGGAGGGAGAAAGGGGAGGGAGGGGGGGAGAAAGGGGAGGGAGGGGGGAGAAAGGGGAGGGAGGGGAGAAAGGGGAGGGAGGGGGGGAGAAAGGGGAGGGAGGGGGGGGAGAAAGGGGAGGAGGGGGGAGAAAGGGGAGGGAGGGGGGAGAAAGGGGAGGGGGGAGAAAGGGGAGGGAGGGAGGGGGGGAGAAAGGGGAGGGGGGGAGAAAGGGGAGGGAGGGGGGGGAGAAAGGGGAGGGAGGGTGGGAGAAAGGGGAGGGAGGGGGGGAGAAAGGGGAGGGAGGGGGGGGAGAAAGGGGAGGGAGGGAGAAAGGGGAGGGAGGGGGGAGAAAGGGGAGGGAGGGGGGGGAGAAAGGGGAGGGAGGGGGGGGAGAAAGGGGGACGGAGGGGGGGGGAGAAAGGGGAGGGGGGGAGAAAGGGAGGGGGGGAGAAAGGGGGGGGGACGGAGGGAGAAAATGGGGGGGGGAGGGAGAGGGAAAAGGGGGAGGAGAAAGGGGAGGGAGGGGGGGGGGGAGAAAGGGGAGGGGGGAGAAAGGGGAGGGGGGGTGAGAAAGGGGAGGGGGGGAGAAAGGGGAGGGGGGAGAAAGGGGAGGGAGGGGGGGAGAAAGAGGAGGGAGGGGGGGAGAAAGGGGAGGGAGGGAGGGGGGGAGAAAGGAGAGGGGGGGGAGAAAGGGGAGGGAGGGGGGGGAGAAAGGGGAGGGAGGGGGGGGGGAGAAAGGGGAGGGAGGGGGGGAGAAAGGGGAGGGAGGGGGGGGAGAAAGGGGAGGGAGGGGTGAGAGAAAGGGGAGGGCGGGGGGGAGAGAAAGGGGAGGGGGGGGAGAAAGGGGAGGGACGGGGGGAGAAAGGGGAGGGGGGGAGAAAGGGGAGGGGGGAGAAAGGGGAGGGGGGGGAA